TATATATACTATATATATATATTAGCAAACTATATAAATAAGATGCACCTCCACCAGAGTAACATTGCACATGTGGGCTTGGTCTGACAAGTGGGTGTGCAGAGGCTGCCTAATGGAGAGGCAGAGCTGGGAAATCCACACAAGAGCAAGCTAAGAAGCCAGGGTAACAGCGGCTTCATTTAATGCGGTGCTGCCACTTCTGGTCCACAAACCCCATTTGCCCACATCTTGGGTAGAAGCGCTATCACACACTGGGATACTGTGGAGCTGATCACAGCCATATTTTAACCAACTGTGATTTGGAGATGTGACTACTCTGCCCTGCAATCACTCAGTGTCCTCCCCCGGTCTCTGTTCTATATCCAGCACAGTTAAATGATAATGACTTTTAAGAAGTGCCACACAAGGAAAGAGTTTCCTCTTAGTGCAAGGCACACAAGGGATCGATAAAAGATGCAAGGGTTTTGATCTCTAGTTTACCAGCTAGAATTAATGAAAAAAAATTTTTTTTTGATCTCTGGAGTTTTTTGATCTCTACTTTAGGTTTGTTTTATTTTTAAGGGCTTTTTTTGATCTCTAGTTTATCAGCTAGAAAGAACGGAATTCAAACAGAAATAAACTGTTGATGGCACGCACGACATGCTGCCATCCCACCTGAACTGACACAGCTGCTCAGTGGCTTTCTAGCAGTCCTGTTGTGTGAAGATTTTGAGATGTTGTGCTCACATGTGCTTTTCAGAGGAAAAGCTGTACTGACATATACTCAAAGGTGTGTATTTAAACCATTTATTCACATAACGTCTTCTTTCCTTACCCAACTCTCTGCAGATCCAATTTTTATATTAACTCCAAGTGATCTCTTGCAGCATCACAGACTATGTTTTGCATTTGTACCCAGTGGCAAAGTGATAGCTTGCAGGTATAGGTGAGACAAAGGGGACCCCTGGCAGGCTACAGTGAAATGAAACAATCTTGGAAAAATCTGAGCAATGACTGGACCAGAAAATATATTCCACAACTATTTCATCAAGAATTTAATTATTTCCTAGAAAAAACCCTACTTTTCTTGCTGAGTCTCAGCCACCGTTTAAAATTGACTCCAATAAGCCTGAGAGTCAAGGCATATTTTTCACTTCTCTAGTGGCACAACTCCAAAAATAAAGGCACACTTGCAGACTTAGGTTTTGTGCATCTGCAAGACAGTTAAGATTGGTTCCCTACAAAATTGGAGCCCAAGAGCAACAAAGCTGGCCTGGGGGTGCCCCCTCACCCTCCTCGCAAGCGCACACTGGTGGGCAGAGGGTCTGTCCTGGCATGGGAAATGATGGGCAGACAGGAGGGATGCCTGGCAGTGAGCAAAGGGGAGGTGGGCAGGGGGGTGGCGGTGACAGATGCAGGCTGAGAAGGTCAAACACTACAGGCAGAGGCTGCTGTGTCAGCAGGTGGGCACTCAAGGTGTTACCTTGGTTGCTCTCTGGCTCCATGGTCTGACCGGTCGGATCCTGTGAGTTCCCGTTCCCCACGATGGGTTTTGGAGGCTGCACGCCTGCAGTGGAGGCAGCGTGAGCCAGCTGGGGAAAGGGTCCAGGGAGGTGCGGTGGGGGTGGCTGGCGAGGGTGGTAAGGCACACCCGGTGGGCACACGCGGGAGGACAGCTGCTGCATGGCGATCATCTCTGGGCTGTCCATCATGGACTCCCCGCCCTGGCACCCTCTTTGAACCTGAGGTGGTCCCCCGAACAGAGAGGATGGCGGCTGCGGCATCCTCTGACCAGCGGCTTTCCCAGACGGTCTGATATACCCTGAGGGAGGCACCCCATGAGGTAGGAAATTTGATTGCTCAGTCCACTGGCTGGGAGGCAGAGGTGGCCTCATGGCCCGGGGGTCCATCATATGACCCAGGGCACGGGGCTGGAGTGAGGGCCCCGGCCCCATCGGTGCCTTCTCCTCTGGCCCCATGGTGCCATGGCCAGCAGGGCCATGACTGCCGTTCCACAGGGCTGGATGAGCGCGGTTCAGGTACTTGTAGGGCCGATACATGTGTCCCGGGGGGACCTCTGAGCTCTCTGGTGGCCTCACAGGGGGCCCATTGTGCCTTGGCGGGAGGAAGCCCTGCTGGAACTGGGCCGAGTCGGGCGGGGGGCCGCTCACGCGCCCCAGCTGCAGGGTGCCCGGCTGGGGACCGAGGCCAGTGACGTGAGTCGGTCCACCGCAGGTCTGCTTCTCCGGGGTGGCCAGCCTGTGCCCACGGTGCTCACTCAGTCCCACGGTTGGCTGGGGAGGAGATGGGGAGAGAGAGACAGAGAGGGCCACAGGGTGAGTCTTGGTGAGAGCCCTCACACCAAGGAGGGGGGAGGACCTGCGGGTCCCCAGGGTGCAGGATCTCTTGGCTGCAATATTTCTTACCTGCATAGCAAAGTGCTGGTGCTGTTGGACTGGGTCACCAGGGTGGGGCTCAGGCACTCGGGGCGAGCCGTACAGTTTTGTGGGATCTGATCCACGCAGTGGACCAAATGTTCCTGGCACGGCTGGTCTCTGAGGGATGGGGAAGGAGAAAAAAAATGAGTTGTGAAGTGCAGAAAAGCAGCATTGCTGCTGCAGGTGAGGGGAAGCCAAGGCTGGAGGAACAACACAGATGAGCAGACAGGCTTTTTGGAAATAACATGAAAAACCTGTAGTCTCTCTCCTATGAGGTGACGCAGGTTCCCTGCCAAAGCCACTCTCATAGTCAGCCACATGTCCTCACACTCAGGTCACGACACTCACCTGCTACCCAAATACTTGAGACCAAACAAGGAGATTGGAGGAGGCAGTGGTTCGCTCTGAGGAGTGGAGTGGATCACAAGAGCACATGGAGCAGGACAACAGGGGAACATGCTGTATTTCCTTCAAAATATTTGCTGCCTCCAGCTCTCCTACTGCCTCCCCCACCCCCCGTATTTGCATCACAAGAAGCACTTTAAAAATTTTGTTTGATTTACATCTAAAAGGGCAAGGGGTAGCCTGGATCTCAGAGGAGCAGCTGATACACAACACCACAAGGCATCAGTGGTTAAAATGGAAAAGGCAGTGAAGGATCGGTGAGGAACAGCCCAGAGGGAAGGCAGAACAGGTAGCATTCAGAGAAGAAATTTTGGACTAAATGGAGGTCACTGCTGCAGTCCAGGGTGGCCTTGTGTTTGGTTTCATTTACTGCTTTTATAAATACTCAAGGCATGAAATGCGGTAGTACACAGATGGTACAAAGTTACCAAGCATCTGTAAACAACTGAGACGAAAGAAGACCGACTTCTTCAGCACCATAAACTAGAGGTTAGGATAGGAAATGTGACTGCTTTCCATGCACAACGAGGCAACTCTCCAAGGAGAGAAGAGAACTGGGGGAGCCAGGGCTGGCACAAGCCCACATCATTGGCCATGGTAAATGTTGAGATTGTTCTCAGTTAGTGTGGCAAAGACTGAAACTGTACCAGTTCAAATCTAAGGGCTGAAGTTTATGTTGCGGAAACCACAGCCCTGACCCTTAATCTCTGGGAAAAGGTCCTTGCCACGCAATAGAGATTTCACAGTAGAGAGCTTCACTCCCCTTTACCTCCCTTCCTTCACAGGCCTATGGGGTGAAGAACAGCAGAAACTGCTCCTTACCATCTGGCCGGGATGTGGCACAGGGCTGGGCATGCCGCCATACTGCAGAGACCGAGGGAAGCCTCGCCCATTGGAAGGGCCCACTTCTCGAGAAGGCTGCATCATGTTGCCACTTGGATCCTCTGCAGAGGATGATGAGAAGGAGGAGGAAGAAGAGGAGGAGGAAGAAGCAGGAGCCCTGGAAGTAGCTCGATATGGTGGAGGTTTTCCTCCATTTTCCAGGCGTTGCTGCCTCTTCCCTGGTCCATCTGGGTCTCGTGACCGAGTCCAAACACTGCCTGTGCTGGAGCGACCGGTCCGCCGGCTCCTCTTCTCTCGCCTTCCGTCTTCTCTGATCCAAAACTCCTCATCTGTGTCTCCATCTTCACCAGGGAAGTGCTTCATCATTGCTCGGTGAAAACACCTCTCTAAGTTGTAAGCCATCTTGGTATATTCTGCAGTCAAAATATACCAACAACATTAGTGACAGAGCCTTATAGAGAGAAACAATTAAGCAGCATTAGACTTTCCCCATCAGATAAATCATCTCCCCCCCATAATGTTTCTTTGAGGAAGATTTTTTGTTTCTAACCAGTTGCCTTTGGTTTACATTCTTAAACTTGATAAGCAATAACTCAATAAACCCATCAGAGGACACGCACATAGCCATGACAAAGTACCATTAGTGGCATGTCTTGCACAGTCAGCACTAACACAGTATTCCAGCATAGTGCCAAAAATACATTACAAGAAGCACCAGCTCTGCTCACAGAGATGTGTGACCTGCACCGTTAGCCAGCAGAGTGCTGAGAGTAGAAATACGAACTTTCAGCAACGCTATTTGCTTACATTCAAATGCTTTTGTTGGACTCATTCAAATCTCTGCTGTATAATACAAAGCAGAGGAAAATCAGTAAACATATTTATCTAGGTACAGTTTCCAAAGCACTTGGTGACCCTGACACAAAAGCTATTGCCAGCACCAGTGTCCCCATTGCGTCATTTCCACAAAACAGTTCTGTGCAGAGGGGCTCCTACTTTTTGTTGGAGTGGATAGGAAGGAAAGGGCATGTGAGAGGAGTTATTGACAAAGGCTTGAAGCAAATGACTTTCCAGTTGTTTCCACTAAACTAACCCAGAAGTTCTTTGGGAAAGAGCTCTCCCAGGAATGATTTTACTTGGGGCCCACAGCGACAAGCTGGGTAGCTCTATTTTCTCTTTCAAGAAGGTGCTGGCGAGACACAGTCTCCAGTGATGACCCACCATATGGGAACTGATTTCTTACCTAAGCAACATGCAGAAATTTAATTGGCATGGCAATTAAACCCAGGGTTTCCCATTTGCAGAGTCGTGTATTTCATTCAATAGCCAAGGAACTTAAAAACTACATTTTCCCTCTAAAGGGCTACAAGCTTGGTTAATTCCTCACTTTTCTGTGGTACTCAACAAACACTGGGAGCTAACCAGAATCCAATGCTTTTCCAAGTCTGTGCTAGATATTATGAGACAAAGGAGCACATTGAGACACACAAGCACATGAAGGAATGAGCTCAGAAAGAAACAGCCTTTCTTCTATGTTCTGCCTTCACCACCTACCAACATGGAGAGTATGCCATGCCCCAATTCAGCTAAAAGCCTAAATTCAGCCTAAACAAAATCATGCCTCACTAAAACCCCAGGCCTTATTACTCAGGGGCTCCTGCCCTTTTGTCTGGCCTCCCAAAAATACCCTGAAAGAGAACAAGCACAAATCAGGTACTGGTGAGTAGAGATAAAACTGCTTGTTTGGACTCAGCATTGCAAACAGACAAACTTAGCATCTTAGTGCTCTTACCACTGCCTTCACCATTGTACTTAAGACAGTTCCTGAACATGGTCTTCATATCGCCCACAAATTCTTCCTTGGTGCAGTACTGACCTCCATTCAACTTCTTCTCCATGCTAGAGATGTCCATGGGGGCCTGAAATGCAACAAAACCTCGCTTCAGTTACAGCGAGTGTCGTAGGGCTTACAGAGTTGCAGAGCCAGCTTCCTCACAGGATGGGGAGCAGAGGGGGCTCTCCTGAGATGCAGCTTCTTGTCTTTGGTTTCATTGACTTGCAAGGCTAGAAGGGGCTTCTGGAGACACACAGTTTGTCTGTGAGGGTAACACAGCCCACAGAACATCAAAACACTTCCAAAAACCTGCATTTCAGTCAACAAAACACATCTATCAGGCTGGCTGGACCACTCTCTGTCCATACCTTAATGATCTGGTAGTAGTTGGGAGCATAGGATTCATCGACGGGCTCCAAGAAGGGCCAAGAGTCCTTGTGAGCCTTTACCACATCTAGAACTGGCAGGAACAAAGGAAAAGTGAATGGTTACACACACATGCTCAGGGGAGTATTTCCTCCAAGTGGAAAAGCTGGGGCAGAAGGACTAACCTTTGTACATGGCTGTGAACTCATCGTCCAGTTCAAAGCTGTAATGGGAAGTGCAACAGTGAATATGCAGACTAAGAATATATAAGATATGCTCTCATATCTCATCTTCTCTTCCACACTACACACATTGCCACAGTGCTGACAAACAGGCTTCATCACAAACACTCCTCTGCGTGGATCAAATTCAGATGTTTCTCACCTTACTCCTCACTGTTCTCCAACCTCAATTCTCCCTCCACACTCTTGTGAATGACTACGCTCCTCTCCTCCCTGTACTCACTGCATGACCTTCAATGCACCCACATGCACAATGCCCAGCTGCATACTCACAGATCCTTGGTCCTTCGCTCTTCCCTGGTAGGGGAACTGGGATCCAAGTGGGAAAGCTCAGGGGGAAGCTCCTTCCCCTGTGCCAGCAGCCAGGCCCGCTCTTCACGTAGTTTCCTCCTTCTGGCTCGTTCTGCAGTGAGGAGGAAAGAGAGGTGAAAAACCATTCAGCAGTCCTTGTCAACAAGATCCTACAGGGAAAACAAAGACAGCTCCTGCAGCTCTTGAGGACTCCAGTGAAATGCTCTTGTTCTTTCAGGAAAAGCAGCAACAGCACAGGAGCAGAGGAGGTGAGAATACAGCACACCATCAACACGCCTCTTCATTTCCCCTTGAGTTTATGATTTCGAAGCATTACTGTGATACAGATGCTCCCCTAGCCAGCTTCCAGGCAAATTCCTGACCACGGTGTGGTACAAAAAGAGAAGTTCTATGTACAGATCTAGGCATAGATCAACACTATGGAAAGAGCTGGCTTGTTAAGTTACTTTCATTCAGATGCTTCACCTCAGCCAGGTGAGCTCAAGGCAGCTGGTTTTGCACTGACGTGATTGAAGAGCAGTACTGAGGGAAAGATGAAGTTCTACCAGCTGGGTGACTGGTAGAACTGGGGTCAATAATGTCATCCACCACAGTGGCTAGCTTTGGGAAGACTGTTCAGGTAGGCCAGCAGCCAGAGAGCAAGCTGCTACACAGGAGGGCCATTGGGACAGCTTTGGTTTAAGAGGTGAGAGACAGGAAGAAGCAACGCTGGTAATATAACCTGTGGTCTGCAACCAGACAGCTGGCTAACAGATTGCTTCATAACAGAAAGTTTATGAGTTCTTATGAACCTCATTTCCTTTTTCTTATAGGAAATCTGAATTCATTTGACTTGCTAAACACCTGCGGTTGTACCAACTTTCTGTGGGAGCAGAATTCCATGAAAGTAATGTTCAAGGAGAGATGTTATAGGAGTAACACCTCAGGAAACAGGTCACAGCAGAGGAACACCCAGAGTGAAAGAAAGATGGGGGAGACTTAGGGCTAATACCCTCTAGCAGAGGCTCCATCTCTGGAAAATGCCAAAGAATCAAGAAGCACCAGCTCTGGTAGAAGAGTATAATTTTACTGTCTTACTCTCTAAGTCAAAACCAAACTTGGTATAGGGGTTGAGGGCATAAGAAAACTAGGAATAGCTTCAAGGTGGGTATTTCCAGGGAGGTCCATGGCCAGGTATGTCAAAGGCTGGTAAAAGAAAGTCCAGATTTCCCCTTAGAAGACTCTGGGTAGCACTGAAGTTGGGAAGACAGGGTTTTCATCTAAGAGGTCCTACAGAATCTATCGGCATCTATGATAACATTTGATGATAAGTCCAACATCAAACTGCAGCTAGCAGTCTGTCCAAGCACAGTTCACTATTGTATGTTTCTTTCATAAAATTAGCATCACTTAGACATCCATAATAATGTCATCTAAGTGAGAAAGCTGAGAAAAACATGTGACGATGATTTGAGCAGCAAAAGGAAAACCTCAAGGCAACAGCAACAGCCACCAAGAGATAAGGTGATGTAGTTTTTAGAAATCCATCAATGCCTGCTGACTGACAGCAATGGGGAAGCATTACCCTGGTACCAGACTGGATCTCAGTCTGGATTAATGGCATGTTCCTCTACCACAGCAAATTATTAATACAGCATCTTAAAGATCACTGGTAGAGCTCATTGTCACGCTGTTGGCACGGGTTGAGACCTACTCATCAGCTTTCAAAAGCTCATTTGTGCTCTAAAACATATCTCAAGCAGGTAGAGAGTCATACGTGTGAGAGGTAACATTGGAGCAGCATCTGGGAAGAGAACTGGGAAACTCTAACCTGCTGTTGTGGCAGAAATTTAGAGAGCTGCTTTAACTCATAAATTCAGAAAAGTACAGATGGGCCTAGCAGGAGGCTCGCTACCTGGGGCGTGAGTTGGAGCTGGGAGAAGTGAAATCCCACATGGAAACAGGAAAGTGATCTAAAAACAGGCATACAGTTGAAAACTGAGAAGCAGGTGAAGTGCTGATGAAGTTAATTAGAAAGCAGATATTTCACCGTGTTTCAAATCACTCCTCTACAGACAACTTTACAAAATTAACGTGAAATCCCAGAAGAACTGCAAAATACAAGAAAATATTTGTTGCCCTAAAATATCTATTGATGGATGTCCAGTTTTAACAAGTCTGAACCAAGCAAACCAAGCAACTTCATTTTCAAATCACTTTCTGTCCCTCATAAGAACTATGACGAAAGTAAATGTTAACAGAAAGTGAGCTTGGCAATAAGGAAAGATGGTTAAGAAGCCAAAGTTACCTGGATAGCTGCCGTTTCTAGGCACAAAAAATACTGCAGTGATTTAACTGAACAAATCAGCCATTTGAGTAACCTTTCCCCACAGCTTTTGCACCAGTTTAAAAGTAGACTTCTCCTGACTTAGCCTGAACTGACCAAGGTAAAGTTTAAACTGAAAGAAACAGCACAAACCAAAATAAAAGCATCTTTGCCAAGAAAAGCACTAATGTATGCTAAATTAGCTTCAAACAGTTTACTGCCCAACCCCATGCCAGTTTATCTGAGTGGCTCTGGTGCCTTTGCATCAGCTGATTGCATCTCCCAGGAAAGGGCATGGCTTATACCAAAACCAACATCTTTTTACAGGTATATTTATCTTTGCAGCTCTTCCCGAACTTAAAGATTAATTTTGTCTACACAGATGGAGAATTAAAGCCCAGAGAATATGCAATTTGCCAAGGTGAAACAGATATCCGTGGCTGATCTGGAAACTGGATGATTCTCAGTTTAAAGCACTGGATTAGCCAGGACTGGCAACCAGGAATACATAAAGGCCAAGCAAGTAATTGGATTTGCTAAAGGTTAGAAAGGTAAGCAGGTAAAAGAAACTATTCTTAGATAACATCTGGTCTGCTACCAAACATTTGATAGCAGACTCTTTCATCTTGGAAAGTTTACAAGGTTTGCATGAACCTAATCTTTTTTCCTTTTCAGATGCTTTATCCACTTAAGGATTCAAGACATTGATACCACCACACGTTACCACCGCAGTTTTCCACACATGATCAGTGCTTCCCTGTGACTGCAACAGCCCAGGCAGTCACTGCAGCAAAAGCGGCAGGTAAAGGAATCCCTATAAGGCAGGCTAACAGAGAGGAGGTGGTCAGAAATGAGCCTGCTCTTAAGACACCAGTGTCTACATATACCGACTGAACGTCTGCTGTCTGTGCCTCAATCCAACGTAATAAACACCACACAGTTATTTCTTGCAGAACAGCTTAAATCAGCATTTCACTCAAAACAATGGAAAACCAACACCTGAAGTTGCCACCTGCTAGTGCTTTATTTAGTCTGGTCCCTTTATCTCTAGTTCTCCACTTGAGGCCAGTAGCAATATAAAAATACTCCTCTTGCTACTCCAACATTGTCTCTTTCTGTTTCTCCTCAAAGAAAATCCTTTCATGATGAATTAGGCCAAAAGGACCAAATTCTATTTAGCAGGAGCAAAGCCAGCTAATCCTCCTGCACCCAGGAAAATCCATGGGGACAAAAGAAGACAACTGGGGAACAACACAAAAAGCAGAAGAAAAATACAGCTGGGGCAAAGGAGAAAATAACTGTGATTTGAGGAAGAAGAGAAGTGGAGAACAGCCATCAACACTGAGAGACGGACAAAGGAAAAGAAGCTACAGTCAAGCCCATTTATCTGAGGTAAGTGCAGGAAAAGATATTCCTATTAGCATGTCTGGCAGGGGAGGAATGCAATTGGCAGATCTTAACTCAAGTTCTTAATTTCTGCTTTGAAAGCTTCTGTGCCTGCTTCATGCTAGCTACACGTACCTTCCACCGCTTTGACTTTCTCCTCCATCTCTCTCTTCCTCTCCTCCTTTAGCAGCTGCTCCTGCTCCCTCTTCTGCACTGCTATAAGGATTTGGCGCTCCTCCTCTTCCTCCCTGCGCCTCTGCTTCTCCACGGAACTCAGCACGTTTGGGTTTACCTGTGGCAAAACGATGCACCATAAACTGTAAAGCGCTGGCTTACTGAAGTCTGAGCAGAGGCAGGTTTACTTTGAGCAAGTATTAAAGCATACCTACAATGGATAGCTGAGGAAAAAAAGAAAGGGATAAAAAGCATTTGCACATATGAATTCTCAGATGAAAAGCAACATGTAAAAGAAAGTTGTCAAGCAATGAAGCCCTACTGATGCAGGGATAAGCAAAGGAGAAGCAATAGGTTAAAAAAGCTGCCACTCTGCCAGGAATGCACAGTATGTATTTCCCTTTTGGGCAAAAGATTCATGCTGCTGACACCCCCACACAACACCTCTACCCCTTCCAGCTAGCAGAGTCCTGAATTGCCAGGGCGAACAGAAAGGACTGCTCTGCTATAAAACAGAGTTCTTAGGAGAGGAAACAAGCCTTGCATCAACGTATCACTTGGAGTGTTTTCCTGTTCAAAATGAGGGCCACCATAATCCCTCCTGAACAATCTCTTTATTAGCTTAATTTGATTATCAGACAAATTAATTGGTCAGCCACTCCTAACTCTTTTGACTCTGGCAAGATCAAGCAAGGTATGTGTGCCTTATCAGCAGGGAATAATGACCAGAAAAGAACAATGTGCATACACTTTTCTCCATCTTCATTTTCAGGAAATAACCAGCAACCATCACTTAGGCAGAAGGCATTTCCTGAGGATTAGCAATCAGCTGGGGTCCCTTGGCTGCTGCTCAGACCATCGACTTCTTCAGGCCCATTATTAATCCCCAGAAAAAATCTGGCATCACAAGTACTATTTTGTCCTTGTTTCATTGCCTAGAAGTGGAACCTCAGGATGTTTTGATAAATGCCTAGAAATGTTGTCTGTTTTCACTGCACATCCATTCCCTCTCTGCCTCCCCTTCCCCTACACAGCAGTGCCCTATAATCTCCCCCTGCAGCTCTTCATGGACAAGCATCGAGTATTATCTCCCTGCCTCCAGCAGCACCAGTATGTTAAGAGAATTGTGCTTCAAGAAGCAACAGCCACAGCGAAGTGTCCAAGAGAGGGCGATGGGGCTCTTTACAACATTAGGACCCTATCCTGCATTAAGAGATAGACTGGACAGCAAAAACACCTCTTCTGTGCTGATCTTTTGAGGTGAAACCCACAGCACGATCTCACCACAAGGGAACTCCTCCTACCTTCTTTTCCTTTTCAGATCTTTGCCAAATATGAGTACTTCTTCTACTGCTTTCCTAGGGAAACCATTCTGCAAGTTCACATGCCTTTAGGTTTGCCTGCTTCTCCTCATATTCAGTCTAAAGTTAATTTCTCATCCCCTTATTCCATCCAATTATTCCTAGTTACACTCTTCAGAGTGAGCATAAATTCTCCTCTTCTTCAGTCACATTCCAGCCTTTATGGGCTTCCTCAGACACACAAAACTCATGTTTCTGTAATTAGGTTAAATGTTTCCTTATAAAGCAATCCTTCCAGCTCCCTAATAATTCCAGTTCTCTCTCAGACCTTTCCTCCAACTGATCAATTGGAGCTCAAACCCCACAATACCCAGGACTGAAACTGCTATGCCAAGTACAAGAGGTCAAGAACCTACAGAATTGGGTATTACATTTCACTTTTCGTTCTTTTTATAACCCTTTCTCAGTTGCTCTACTTTCTGATTTTCTGCTCATGCACTGCAAACTACTTTATTTCAGGCCTGATCCTGACCACTGCCAAAGAGTTTTCCCTTAACTTGATCAATTTCAAGTTTTATTAGTCAGGTTCTGCAACAATTAGAAGAGAAAGAGGTGAGCAGGAACCAGCCACTAGAAGTTTGTACACCAAGACATTTTATTGAGGACGCGACCACCAGCCTTTAGATTCTCCAGCCAGTAGATCTAAGCCAGCTGGTGCACAGTTTCCCTGGATTCACAGAGTTTCCACCATTCCTGCCCTATGGAAATGTGAACACACGATCCAAGCTGCAGGGTGCCTTCAGCACCCTGTACTGTAATGGCACAAGCACGTTCCAGACCAACCCACAACAAATACAGCATTGACAAAGCAATGGGACAATTTTAAGCAAAGGAGAGGATGTCATCCTAGCAAATCTAGGAAGAGAAGAAAAGGGAAATGCAGGAACCACAAACGCAGTGTAGTGAGCACCAAGGACTGCAGCAGACACCCACAACAACTGCACTTGCTCCCTGCAGCACTTGCAGGGCAACAGCAATTCTGGCACAGGCACTTCAAGACACTTTGGAAACAGGAATAGCCTGATTTTCAGAGGGACCTACTGCCTGGTGTCCCATTTACATCCATTGGGGATGAGGGTGCTCAATTCAGGGTTAAAAACTAAGCAAACACAAACAAGTAAACTCCTACTGGATGTAATGGAAGCAGACGCCTATTGGAACAATAAAAACAAAAACCTAACACAAGTTAAACTAACTTCCTGACTGAAAAGGTGGCAAAGGGACATTTCTCCAGCTTTCTCCTCACTTGGAGGACAAAAAACAGCCCTGGCATCTGTGACCACAGCATCACCACCTTCTTCCCTCCGCCAGAGAGCACTCCAGGACACAACATCACTGCCTTTTCCCCTGGGACCCCTGAAAGGGCCAAACTTCTGCTGTTTGCTTTGCTCTCCAGACAGTGGGTATCAGACTTCAGGGGCAGAAGGCCAGGAGGCGCGGGTGCCCCAGGCGCCCCGGCCCCTCGCCCTCCAAACCTTCCCTGCTCCAGTTTCCGCAGCACTGCCCTAATGAGGGTGCTGCTCAGGCGGCTCTTTAATGAGGAGCTAATCTGAACCACCTGTTGAGAAATCCCCCTCAGGATTAGGAGCCTATGGAGCACTTCTATCTCAGACCAAAGCAGCATCCAGCTCACAGAGCCAAGAGGAAGGGGTCACCCCTGCATCAGGTTTTCTCCCCTAGTCTGCCCACTGCTCGCTGGGCAAACACACAGCCAGACACACTAGTACCTTCCCTGGCTTCCCTGCGGCAGGGGTGACTGCTACATCCTGCTGGGGACATGGCAGTAGCATCGCTACCCTCGCTGGCTGCCTCCCCTCACCTCAGTGCATCGGGTGCCGGGAGGGCCCCTCGCTCGCTGGAAACGTTTCACTGGCCCACAGGCAGCAATTAACAGCCCTCTGCTGCCACAGACCTGGAGCACCTGCGGTACTGATTAGCATCATTCAGGCTCCATGTGTTTCCCACTCCCCTCCTCCTCTGGGATTTCTGCTGCCTGCGAACAAACACGTGTCCCTATGCTTCCTGCATGGTGGGCTTTGCGGAGAGCAATTCTGGCCCCAAACTGACCATCACTGGGGTCTTATTTTCCTCTTGGCAGGCTTTTACCTGCAGCATGATGAGAGGTTCTTCCTTCCTTTTATTTATCTATTCTAAGTAATTATATTTATTGCTAGGAACTGTACTTTCTCCTTTGTTTTGCAGGAGCCCCTGACCCTGGCTCATGTGGAATATTACCCGCAGTTTAATTTCCCAGGGTTTGACAAAACACCAGGTAACTACATTTTCATTACATCTACAGTGAGAGATTATGCCATGGTCTCACAGAATCAAGCCAGTTTTTTTCTCCAAAGCTGATCCCATGTTCCCTGACCGATTGCTTTGGGTAGCAGTTGCCAGTTCAAAGACCCTCCATCTCCACTGGACCATGCTCCTGGCTGTGCCAGCATGACTGCCGGGGGCTGTGTGGTGAACTGGATCAGAAAGCTGATCTACGTTTAAAAATAACCCCAACCAAAGAAAAAGGTTGTATTTAACTCCAGTCATTTTCCTGGGTCTGGTTCACTGCACAGACCCACAAGCGGCAGCACTGTTACACTGATGGGGTGGGGAGGAGATGAGGGTGAAGAGGCACAGAAAGAGCTGTTTCAGCCGACAAGGCTGCAGTTCGATAAGCAGTTCTTTAGGCAGCCTAAATTGTGACTTCCATTTCCAGCTGACCCCCTTCTAGCTCAGCTCCGTACCGCATCAGTCATTCTTCTTTCCCTCCGCACTATCTACGCTCTCATGTGTTTGCAGCCTCACGTTTTCCCCTTGGCTGAATTTCTGTCATTTCCCTTTGTAAGCCAGTTCTTCTAGCCCTCTCATCCTTCTTCAACTTTTCTTTGAACTGCCTCGAATGTGCCAGCACTTTCATTGAAGTGGAATTCCCCAGACTGAGTGCAGATTTCCATATGCAGCTGCGCCGGGGTCTGCGGCGAGGCCGGCTACCTCTGCGATCCAGAGGGCAGCACCTCCCTGCTCGCCATAGAAACCCCGAGTGTCAGTCTGCCTTTGACAGGCATTACCACCCATCTCTCTTTCAGCACAAGCACTTTCAAACGACTCCTTCCCACTGAATGGTGATGCTGCGGTTTATTTTTTTCCCCCAGGAGGCATCTGCTCTTGCCTCCCTCTGTCATCCTCCCCCTCACACCCCCCCTCACCTCCTGCTTGATTGGTTTGATGGGCTGATGGTCAGACATCCACCTGGGAGAAAACTCTGTCCGCTGCAGACGCTTCTCCTGAAACAGGGTTGAGAATTGAGGGAAGGAAAAAGAGAGTGGAGGAAATTAGGGCACATCGGTGATACTGGCAGGAGAAACTGTGGGGGCTAGAAGTGACCATGAAAATGCCTATTTGCTTTACAAGGGTAGCAAACAAGCAAACTGAACTCAATCCAAGAACATCACGCTGGCTGCAGAGCCCATTTTTACAAAGCCATCTAGCTGAAGGATCCCATTCCAAATCTGTCCCACCTGAAAACCTTCTGTTGCCAGACAATACCCTTTGGAGTTTCCAGGCTCTGACCTATCAGCTTAAGCAGGCTGAGCTAGGACAGCTAAAGCAATCGCTGCCCCTTCAGCAGAGCTAGCTGAGAATCAGCAGTAAAAGTGGAATCAGAGACAGTTTGCATAGGAAAGCTAGGCTGTAAATCGCAGCATCCAAAAGCAGACAGAGATTCCCTGCTAGCAGAAAAGGGACACAGAACATGGCTGAAAACAGGAACCCCTTCAGCCATCCTACCTATGCTGCCGTGCAATCATGAACCAACTCTGGCCCTGCCACTCCATGGGGGAGAGCCTTTCTCCCCACACACAAGCTAAACAGCCTCCGCATCCACGACACTTGCAGGCTGGAGGTGGGGGGCGCAGGACGGGGTGAGGGCTGCTTGGATCTCGCTCTCCTTCAATCAGCAAATGTCCATGCTCTTGGAAGCAGGCAGAGAGGTAAACAGGATGTCATGTCTCCTCACCTTCTGTGCAATCATGTTGCAGATCTCCGGCAGGAAGTCTTCACTCAAGAGTTTGTAGAGCTGCCGCTCTCTAAGGGAAGTCCTCTCTCTGAAGCTCTCTGTGACCTGCCTCCACTCCTCTTCCGTCTGACACAGCAGCCACCATGTCCCACGGCCAGGCCCTTGGGACCCTTCAACAACATGAACGGATGTTATCTCCACAGCAGTTATGACTAACAACTTTTCTTTATTCCCTCTCCTCTTCTCAGAAAGAGCAAAAGGTGCTGCCAATGGCCACTGTTACGAGAAACATGCTCTTTTCTATAGACCCAAAGGTCTCTTGGTCCACCAGAAGCACTGCAACCTCCTCTAGTGACGCCAAGACACAAAGTACACAGGTGAAGAAGTAATGGTGGTGCTTTGCCAGAGTAGGACATAGAGTAATGCAAATGTCTGATTTAGTCTGGCAGCAGAATAAAAACATTGAAAATTAATGTTATTGGAAATAAGCCAATTTTTTTTTAGCTGCAAACCTTTGCTGCAGTGAATAAAACCTCCCCTTCTCCCCAAATGAAACATTTTGTTTGCAGGCACTTGAAAGAACAGAAGAGGAAGTGAAGGATGGGCTTCATCGGGCTGCCAGATGAGGGGGAAGTTCCAAAAGTTCACAACCCATCCCTGCTCAATCCAGAGTGGGATCTGAAGCAGATCTCCCACTGCTCTGAAGCATGTTCCAACTACCAAGACACACTGAGCTGTTCCGCCTTGTGTGAAACATTTGTATATTAATTGTGAAGGAAAGTTTCTCTTGCGTGGTGGTTGGAACACCCACCTGGAGAGGGGGAATGTGGTTCCTGCTCCACAAATGTTTACACAGGAGCAGAGAAGCCTCATGGGTTACAACTTGCATGTTTTTGCCCCAGGACCCTCCCTAAGCTAAAAACGTTGTGGCCCATTTTTGGGGAGAGGGAAGACACTGGTTCAAACCCTTTCAGGCTGAGGGGTTCTCAGCTCCCTCTTAAATGGTCTTCACCCCCACTGGCAGATGTCGTGCAAATTCTCACCCCATTTTCAACCAAATTAACTATGAAAAATATAAAGAAGCAAAAACCAGAGCCCTTTTCTCTCTGAACCTGAACCTGAGCCCTTTGTGGATTTGAGGGGCCGGCGGCTGCAGCGTGTGAGCTATCAGGTTGCCGCAGGAAGGCTAGAGAGCTGCAGCACCCTCCAGCCACCTGCCCTACCTTGAAAACCTTCATGTCACTGTGGTGGCACAGAGCAAGCATGTGTTAACTCTTGGTCACAGGCCAGTGTGCTGCTTAACCTGCCCTCGGCTTTGGCTCCAGTTAATGTGTTGGGGACTGGTAATCGAGATGGTGAAGGAGCAGCCGTGTGCTGGTTTCTGTGGCCCTGGCTATGAGAAGCTGTCCCCTGCCAAACTGCAGGGGGGAGCTTACCTGCTCTCCCCAGAGCCTGTCCCCTCCTTTCCCCTTCCTTTGCCAGCTGCCTATGGGCGACTCATTTCAAAACCAACCAGGACTAAGGCCCTTCTTCATGCCACCAGATTACTCTGCAGCTGAAGTGACACAACTTGCTGGAAGACAATGACCTGATAAAACCCCCAGTGTCTCATGTGCCTCTCTCCGGCTCCGCCACCCAGCTCTGGAGCAGCCAGCAGGAAGTCTGAAGACAAAAAGGGGACGGGAAAGAGGCTCTTGAAAGACAATGCCACCCTTGCGATTTATTGTGGGGACATGGGTAGGCCAAACCCCTGGGTTATGTGAAAGCCAATGGATCCAAGCATCATCCCTACGACAAATGAATCCCAGACCCCTCAGACTCATTTCCACATTATGTTGCCAACTCACGATTTCTGCTTGCCTTGCTAACCCTTGGGTGGGTATCCCCAAGACATCATTTACTGAGCTCAGTCATCCAATGGCCACCAGGAAGGAGAGGCGAGGAGAGTCAAAAAGATTCTCCCTTCTCTATCTTGGCATCACTGACTCCACTTTCGTCCCAGTCCAAAAACAAGCACTCACTAGAAACAGGTGCTTGTGTCCACCTCATCCCTGGAGGAGCAAGGGCCATTCAGAACCTATTTCCATCAACTTTAGTGAATAGTTGGGCCCCCAAGGCCTAATATAACACAAGATATTATGTTTCTTCATCCCAAAATAATCCATGATAAGGTAGGAAGCCCACAGGTGCCCAGACTTCCAGCTGAAAGGAAGCTGGTAATGCCAACCTCTCCTTCCAAACTCATCCCCAACCACCGGCAGAAGGACTCTCCCTTTCCTGGGAAGGGTATCTCTCTGGGCTTTGACAATTTAAGAGCTGTGTTAGCTGACCATATCAACCCTGACCCCACAAAATCTCTTTACCATTTCTTATCTGAGTCTCACGGATTAGTAAGTTCTCTTCTGCCTTCTCCCTACCAAAAAAAAGAAAAGAAGAAAAAAGAGGAAGAGTGAGACAATAAATACGTTACTTCACATCACTGAAATGCAGGTGCTTCTGAGGAGGAGAATGGGGGATGCAGCAATTATCCAATGCAAAACCAGGAACAAAAACCAGCATGCAAAACACGTATTTGATATACATATTCATGAATATATTTATCATAGCTTTGCAAAATTTTAAGAAGTGAAGGGTGCAGGCTGGAGTTTGATAAGGAGAGTATTTCAATTTTTATGGGAAGCATCCCAAAATCTGTACTGACTCAAGTGGCCAGAATTTTTGGCTTCAAACGCTATGCAGTGAAAGCGTTCTTTATCAGGAGCATATCCCGTAGCACTACACAGAGGAACTGCATCTGAAGTGAGGCAGTTGGAAGAGTGATACCCACTGTTTCACCAAACTTGGCTTCCAGCACAGTCAGAATTTTCTTTGGAGAGCGATCAAAGCATCCACCAAGTCTGAGCTTGCTTCATTTCAGAGATACATTGAAATTATGGCTGCATGGTATATACATACTTATTGGGGGAACCCCAGAAGTACATTATACTTCCCTCTGGGAACATACGCATTTTATGCCTACTGCAGGAACAACCTTTCCATACCTCAACAAATTTTCTTCCAGTAGTTTTTTCCGCTTTGGGGGTCGCCCTCGTCTCTTGCCTGTTTTCCCAGGAACATTTGGGGTGTTTGTCTGCCCCCCGCATCCCCTGCAAAACAGCAAAACCACCATGAAATATCTGCTGAGCAAAGAAACTGCGGCTGGCAGGATGGGAGAAGGGCAGGGAAATCAGAACAGCTGCTAGAAACCCAACCAAAGGAGGGATTAAATTAGAGCAGCAACAGGCCAGGGAGGGGAGGAGAGGAGGGATTCCCACTCGCTGGGAGCCTGATCTGGGAGCTGCCGGCACGGTACGTGGCAGACAGGGAGGAATGCGGTGGGGCAGGCAGCATCATTCCCACAGCAGGCTCTCCTGGTGCCACAAAGGCTGGAGGCTGGCTGCAACACAATGCACGACGCGGGGCAGCTCGCAGTCTGCTTGGCAACTCCAGTATCGCCCCGCACCACCCTAGCTCTCTCCCAGGGCCCCCCTGAATTGCTGCACGCTCCCCTGCAACAGCACAACAGCAGTCAAGCGGAGTCCCCTCCAGCCGGGCTGGCTGTGCTGTACCCCGCCTCGCTCCCTGCACCCAGACATGGGGGGGCAATGGGGAAACCCCGTTACCTGTCTGGAGCCAGCTCTCCGTTGGTTTTCCCCTGCACCGGGTCCTCCTTGTACATCCGCGTGCCGTAGAAGTACCAGTATAGGGCGCCGCTGCTGTCCTCGCCCAGCGGCTCCACGCGGAGGCTGTCGGCGTCCAAGCCCTGTGCCCACCGGGAGCCCCCCACCAGATGGTGACAAGTTGAAATGCGGCCACATTGTCACACAAAACATGATGACACCCCTGCACAAACACTTCCCTCCCTCCCTCCCACCATGCCACAGCAGCAGTACAGCTGCTCCTCTGGGCTGAGCTGGGAAAATGTTACTCCAGGGGGAAGGCGACGTTCCCTCTCCATCCAGGGAGGGATTTAAATTGGCATCTCTAATTTGAATGGCCTCTCTCATTTTAACATTTCATCTCTGGTGCTCCTGACAGGGAAGGTCTAATTAGTGCTGGCGATAATCACGCACAGCCCCCCCCCTCCCCTCCCTGCCACCACCCTTCCCCCAGCTCCCCCAGTACACTTCAGCCCCATCCTTTCATCTCACACCATCCCTCAGCAAGGCACAGCTCTCGCACCCCTGCCATTACGGTTGGAGCATCTCCAAATTCACTCTTCGCAGGAAGAGTAGCCAATGAAGCTAATTTCAGTGACTCCCGTGTTATGAATAGACCCGTGTAGGACAAAGGCCTCAAGAGCAGTCCTCGCCTTGGGTCCTCTGCAAGGCACGAGAGGAGATGGGGAACTGCTGACCCACTGCACTGCCACCGATTATCTAGCCTTAAAATACATTTAGTAGTATCAACCCTTCTCTTCCCAGGAAGATTCACTGATGTGGCCCAGATCCTGTGACTACACCGCTCTGCACTTCCCTGCTGCCCAAAGCACCTTGAGAAGGTCGAAGACATCATCTGCGTCGAGGCGGTAGTCACAGAGGCGGTGCAGGATCTCCACCCGGGTGCGCAGGGGCAGCTCCTGAAAGGTGGACTCCCGCAAGGGGTTGGGTTTCCCTTCCTCCAGCTCCCAGCGGTAGTTGATGATGTCCTCCAGGTAGCTGTGAAAGGTCTGGGATCTAACCAAGGAAACAAAGTCCCACACACTCACTGCAGTTCGCCATGCTAGAAACACCTGATGCAACCGAGCAACTTGAATGAACACAACACAGAGACAGACAACACTTGAAGGAAAAACGTGCCCCACGACAGCACATTGCGGGATTTCACCTTATACACTACTGTTTAACGGGCAATGTATTACTGTTATTTCTTTCCAAGCTGAAAGAACAGGCTAAGTATGATCTCACTTCAGCCCCATCCTTTTTCTATCTCAATGGGCAGTGCCCTGTGCTAGCACCAACATTGGCCCTTTTACCAAACCTGGATGCAATGAAGCAGATGAGTCTGATTCCCTTCCACCTCTCCCTGTTTCAACTGAAGCCCCTCTCTTCAGGTTTCCATTTACTCCTCACATCTGCCATTGCCAAGTCCTGCTCTTCTCTGCCTTTTATATAGTTTTCCATGCCATGGTTCAGTGGCTTGAAACTCTCCATAGCTGATCATCTCTGCCACCACCATCTCCTCCCTGCTCTGCTGCTGTGGGCTTCTCATACTCTTGCTGTGGTTCCCATTCTCCTCTTCCTCCATCCCCAGAGGTGCTATCACTTTCTCTCCACCAGTGGCTGTAGTGGGGCACCTGCACAGGCTGGTTAATGCACATGATTTGGGCCTTGTAACACAATAACTCCCAATGTGAGTGTACCTCTCAAATAGGGTTCAGCCTTGAGGGCTCTCTTCTCTCTAGTCTCCCAGATGATCAAGCTGAACACTCGAGCTCTTCATAAACACTGCTACTAAAATGATCTTTCTCATTTAGTAGCTGGGCCACATTAAGTCCCACTTTTGTTGCCATCAGTTCACCATAAACCCCAAGGAAACACATTTCTTACCCTCATCTGGCCTTGAGTGTAAATGACCCCATCTGACACACATTAGACCGCTGATGGAGCTTAAGGCTAAAAGAACCCCTTTCTATATTTTAATGAGACTCCAAGTCCTTATTCTGACTGCTGAAAATTTCAGGAGAGGGAATGAAAAAGGGCTGGTGAGGCCATGTGTCCCTAAATATAAAACTTATTTAAGATCTGTCCATATCTCTTTGAGTCCTGAGCCTTGCCAGGCTGTCTCAGCCCGCTCAAGTTATGTACCCTAAGCACAGCAAAGGGGGACCCCCCCCCATGCCCCAGCCATTCTTGCACACACGGGAAGTCCATATGCCGTCAAGAACACCACTGGGTACACATTCCCACCAGCTCTCAAAAAGGCAGCTCAACTTGATAGGTTTTTGGCACAAACGGATTACTCTATATGATTAATGGAACTGTGCCAGCTCTACAGAATTGCATTTGCCTGAGAAATTGCCAACTACTACAAAAGCTATTATTTTTAAACAAAGAGATAAAGGAGCGCGATCCAACTGGAGGAAGATGGTTACAAGTCAAGAAGAAGTTAGCTATTAGGCAGGGAGGGCTTCACGCATTTGGTAAAGACTGGACTTGTTTGCAAGGACCATGACTTGACAGCGACTGCAAGAACAAGGGAACAGATGCCACACAATTCCTCAAGCCATGTCCACCTGGCAGCATTCCCCTTCCTCCTCGAGTGGAGAGGAGCTGATGGTACCATCCTGCAGCTCGCTCCCCACCAGCCTGCTTCTTTCTGACGTCAAACGCAAGCTGACCTCCCAGAGACAGCTCCTCTCACCGGAGGAGTTTTACCAGCTCGCTGCTTGTATTTAACAGCAGATGCTTGCATGTAACCTGAGTCTAGGGCCTTCTGCAGCCTGGAGTTTGCTCTTTTCTGCATGACACAAGCAAAGTGTTGGTATTTCCAAATGTCATTGTTTTGCCTCACTAACGTCAGCAATAAAGCAAATGCAACTTCAAACATCCTCATAACTCATAAAGTTCAGTCAACAGAATAACGGAGGACTGTTCCATGAAATAATTTCTGCGCTGTCTTAAGCACTAATTTTAGGGTAAAAGCTACAGCAACTATTCTTTAAAATGAAATATTCAGTGCACAGTACACCTACTTGACGTAGCTGTGCATTCCCACAGTGCCTTTCGCACATATCTCAAGACCCAATCCAACTTCCAGCAAGAACTTCAACGTGGCAAAAAGCCTGATACTATATTACCTTTATAAAAACTTTTTATCTTTAAGAGTGCTATTGGATCACACACATCTTTAATATTAGATATTTACTGAAGCCATTGGATTAAAACAAAAAAAAGAAATACAGATCTGACTCTAGCTTTGAAGAACAGAAACAGTGCTGAGAATATATTTTCCTGAAGGCAGGAAAGCACCACCTGTATTTGGATGTTTAGTCCATGTTGAAAGGGAATAACTCAGAGAGCATCCGAGTTTCAGCCACCCAATTTCAGTTGTTCAGCTCTGTCAGAGCTCAAGGCAGAAGATTATTTCATCAGATCTGATACAGAGGCTTTGGCTATTTCCAATAAAATTGACTGAAAAAACAATTTTCCTGAAAATTTCCTTCCTGAAAAACTAGTGGGTAAAACACATGGGATGCCAAGAAGCAGCAACAAAAGTAACAGGGCTTCATCTGCTCCTATTTTTCTGGCTAAAACTTTTCTACCTAAAAAAAGAGAAAGTCATGGATCAGACAGACACTTTTACTGCTTGCATGAGTTCACTTATCTTGCTCTACCATTTTGTCTGTTCTCAAAGAAAACTGACCCAGGAAGCCCCTCAATTCCAGATCATCTGAAATCTTTGCCTGTGTAACACTCATTCCCCCTAGGGACTGGCTCTGTTGACTTAACCAATTTGGTTTGAGTTTGACTTTCACATAAGCAGCTAACACTAGAAATTTCCTCCATCCACCCAGTGTCTGATACATTACAAGGTCTGTTCTCAAGAGTACTTTCAGTTCCTACCCCCATCAATTTTCAAAGGCAGCTACTGTGCATTTGTCGCTTTGAATAGGGATAGAAATGAGAACCAGAGATGGGAACCAGATGTCTCAAGGCATTCCCAATCACTCTCAATCTTACATAATTTCTATTTTCCCTCTTTATGGGGGCCGGCCTCTTTTCTCCAGAAAAATGTGGGTTGCTGCTCTTCGACCTGTCTGCCACACCTACAGTTAGTCTCACTTAGCCTGTCTCTCTATGAAATCTCCTTTTGAAAAAGGTTTCTGAAACAGCCCCCTTAGTTTGGAGAAGAAAGTCTGTGGGGAGCATGGCAATCTGTGAGAACCCTGCCCTTGGGGTTCTTCCCTGGGCAAAGCAAAAATGCTTGGGACTAACCGTTCAGCATTATCCATAAAATTCAAAAGCAGGAATCACAGACAAGGTCCAGGAGGGGAATGACCCTCTTTTCAAGCTCAGAAATAGGACAGTGATACACCTGCAAGTGTGACAAGTCCTACAGAGACTCTGCTGCAGCTGAGAACCTCCGAAAACCCTTTTGTAGGTGGGAAGAAGGCAGGAAGGAGATCACTGAGTTGAGGAGACAGATGTAGCTCTTCTGAGGTTCTCAGTATCACCGAGATTTGAAACAACACTCAACCAACAGAAGCAATGTTAAGTTAGTAATGTCCTTTCTCTACAATTCAGAGGAGGATGGACTGGTACATGGACACATTCTGCATCAGGGCACATATCCAAAGGAAAATCAACTTTCCCCTGGAAGTAAACTGGAGCTTCTAGATGCAATTTATAAAAAAGTGTGAGACCATGGGCCACAATTATTGTCACCATATCTCAACCATTTCTATCACCCCTATCATACAGCAAAAGCATCTTTTATACAGCTCATTAATCAAGGAAAACTGTTACAGAGATCACCTACAAGAGGTCAAAAAAGTTACTCTAGAGTATTTTGTAACTGCAAAACTTCATCCTTCCCATGGACTGTCTTTCTCCCCATCCCAACTTCAGTAGCACCATTGATACTTGAGAAAACACAAAGTTCCCCTCACTTGTCACAACATCCCTTCCTTTGCATTTGCCATCCGATGTGTAAATCAGTTTGGATAGCAGGGAAGTATAAGGTGGAATAGTACATGCGCATCTGTGTGATACCTCCCAGATGGATGCAGGTGATTCCTCATGAGCCCAATGCAATTCTTAGTCGCGTCTCTGCCTGTGCTCTGAAATCCAGGGTCATTGTCAGAGGTCCCTGCATTTTTGCAGTGATTAGAAAAGTGGTCAAAGCCAAATCACACGTGTTGTTGAAAGTTTTAATCATTCATTCTGGACCTGTCCATATATATAAAATGAAAACTGGGACAGAGGGAAGGACGCGACCTAACACATCAGTGTCAAGGGAGAGGAATCGTGGCAGACAATCCACAAGACTCCCAGTGAGGTTGCAGCTCAAGTTGCCTGTGATCTTTAGTAGCAGCTGCAAAAAAATCAGGGCATAAAAAAGACAGCAGCAAGTCAAAGGAGGGGCTCCTCCCCAACACGGGTATCAGCGTCCAGAGCAGTCAGAGAAATGATACACCCCCCGACAGCTCAGTGCTGCAGCCCGACCATCTGCTGCCCGGCTGCCTCCCAAAGAGGGAGGTGTCTCTGTGCTCCAGGAGAGGGGAGCTGAGGACTCCTCCCCCTGCCTGGTGATCCCAATTCAGCAGCCTGCCTCTGCCTTGGCTCCCTCGGCTCACAGAAGAGGCACCTTTCTCATCGCCCATGGTTTTAACGCATGGGGCCACACTGCTGTTGGAAAAAGCAGCTTGGCCAGCACATGAAGCGAGCCCCCATCCTGTTGTTTATCACCATGCTCAGCTTCCCAGATGGGCTTCTTTGAAGACTTCTGGAAGAGAGAGTGAAAATTTTGCTGAGTTGACATGGATGTATGGAAAATTTGGTCAGAGCTTCTAGTGCGCAGGCTTGGGAGGGGACAGCTGCACCTTGAGACCCTCCAGCACCCACAGGCACCCCACAGGGCAAACTCCATGAGAAATTCCTGC